GTGGCTCGTTTGAAGGACCATTGTATAGAGACGAAACTCAAGTTCCTCCAATCGACCGTACCGGGGTGAGAGCAATGATAATGCGGACGCCCCCGGAGCCAACTTTATACCGTTTGAGTTTCGAAGCCGTCGACGAAGAGCTGGTGCACTTCATAAACCAGTGCAACGTGGTCTGATTACTACATGTAATCGGCACATAATGTTCCCGTCCTTTATGAAGGGCTTTAGACCCCAACAATCCACAATTGACCAGATTTCCACACTTCGTCAAATTCTAAAAAAAATTTATAGGCACCATATACGGTGCGTCTGATTTGCGAGTCATCTGTGTACGTTTTGACTCGCCTTTCAACTAGACACAGTTGAGTCGCTCAGAGTCATGTCGGTGTAACTAACCATATTTATTTTCACTAACAGATTCAAAGCGACTCGCGAATCAGACGCACAGTGTATGCCGCCCATTAGATAGGAAAATCAATATTCAATACCTTTCCGTGGCCTTAAAAGTCGCTTATGATAGCACGAAAATAAGGTGCTTCTATGGTGCTAGGCCTAAATTTGAGATTTCCGCAAAACTTGCACGTCTATGCAGAGTTACATTGAGAACAATCTTCAGCTCTGTTCAAATTTGGATTAGTAAAGAGCACAGGCAGTCCTATTTGACTGTCTTATGGCAGGCTTGGGCCGAGCTATGTTTATTTATTTTTAGATTAATTAAGAAAGGTCCTTTTCATGCTGAGTGCTAAAGAAACCAAAGTTGCTTCATTGCTTAACCACAATCCTTCCCTCAGACCAATGTCACGATGAGAGATTTTTTGAGTGTTCACGAAGGTTCTCAATCAAATTGGAGCATGCAGATGAGATGACGGCTAAATGTCAAATTACACTTTTGCACGGGTGTTACTCCATATTGCTAGCCATTTTATCGAGCTAGGAATGAAGCAAGCAGCAGTCATGAAAAACTCCACTCGATAAGGGCGCTCGTCACAAAGTTTTTTGTGCAGGCAAAATATAATCGTTAATCTACTTAGCCTATATTTTTCTTATAGTTACTATTAACGGGTGATTTTTTAAGAGCTTGATAACTTTTTTTTTTAAAAAAAACGCATAAAATTACTTTTTGAAGATAATTTCATTTAAATGTTGACCGCGGCTGCGTCTTAGGTGGTCCATTCGGAAAGTCCAATTTTGGGCAACTTTTTCGAGCATTTCGGCCGGAATAGCCCGAATTTCTTCGGAAATGTTGTCTTCCAAAGCTGGAATAGTTGCTGGCTTATTTCTGTAGACTTTAGACTTGACGTAGCCCCACAAAAAATAGTCTAAAGGCGTCAAATCGCATGATCTTGGTGGCCAACTTACCGGTCCATTTCTTGAGATGAATTGTTCTCCGAAGTTTTCCCTCAAAATGGCCATAGAATCGCGAGCTGTGTGGCATGTAGCGCCATCTTGTTGAAACCACATGTCAACCAAGTTCAGTTCTTCCATTTTTGGCAACAAAAAGTTTGTTAGCATCGAACGATAGCGATCGCCATTCACCGTAACGTTGCGTCCAACAGCATCTTTGAAAAAATACGGTCCAATGATTCCACCAGCGTACAAACCACACCAAACAGTGCATTTTTTCGGGATGCATGGGCAGTTCTTGAACGGCTTCTGGTTGCTCTTCACTCCAAATGCGGCAATTTTGCTTATTTACGAAGCCATTCAACCAGAAATGAGCCTCATCGCTGAACAAAATTTGTCGATAAAAAAGCGGATTTTCCGCCAACTTTTCTAGGGCCCATTCACTGAAAATTCGACGTTGTGGCAGATCGTTCGGCTTCAGTTCTTGCACGAGCTGTATTTTATACGGTTTTACACCAAGATCTTTGCGTAAAATCTTCCATGTGGTCGAATAACACAAACCCAATTGCTGCGAACGGCGACGAATCGACATTTCACGGTCTTCAGCAACACTCTCAGAAACAGACGCAATATTCTCTTCTGTACGCACTGTACGCATTCGTGTGGTTGGTTTAATGTCCAATAAAGTAAACTGAGTGCGAAACTTGGTCACAATCGCATTAATTGTTTGCTCACTTGGTCGATTATGTAGACCATAAATCGGACGTAAAGCGCGAAACACATTTCGAACCGAACACTGATTTTGGTAATAAAATTCAATGATTTGCAAGCGTTGCTCGTTAGTAAGTCTATTCATGATGAAATTTCAAAGCATACTGAGCATCTTTCTCTTTGACACCATGTCTGAAATCCCACGTGATCTGTCAAATACTAATGCATGAAAATCCTAACCTCAAAAAAATCACCCGTTACTTATTATTACATGAATGCCAGCGAAAATTCATTAAGGAAAGTTCAACGACTGCAAAGTATCAATAACGTTAAAGCATTATCCGTAATTTGAGAAGAAGGATAATCACTCTACACTGTGATGAATATTGGTGGTGGGATTTTAACTGAAGTAGAAATAATTAAATTTATACTTACATCTTTAGCTAAATAGCACCTGGACAAAAAGACTCACTTGGTGAAATGCATACTTATGTACGTACCCATTGTACATCTGAGTGTATGTAAAGTATGTAAGAAGTTGACTGTTTGAATTTTGACTACTACTACTAAATAAAACTGAGTTCAATATTTCAGCTTAACCACTAATATATGGATTTTTTATTCTAGACAAGGAAAAAATTATGGTGGAGGCTGGAATGACTTTTTTTCAAAGATAACAGATAGGATCTTGTACTGATTACATAAATAGAAAATAATTGTAATTTCTACGTTTAGTATTCCCCCAGCAGTAGTCAACCATTATATGACGATCCCACCGGTTTTTGTTATCTCTCTTCAATAGTTTTAAGGCCCTGGTGAAATGTTCTGCGCTATATGATAAAGGATTCTTTGTGATTTTGTCAAGATGACTGCGGGGAAAGTGCACTTTGAGGGGCATAATACAACCTAAGATTGTACACCTCGCCAGTATGGCGTTTACGATTTCGAAGTTGTTACTTGTCTTATTATTTCCCAGAAAGCTTTTTGTAACTTAAAAAAACGAAGTTAACGCAGGACGTTCCAAGTCGTTCACGTTTAATATTTACTGTGCTTGGACCAGTCAATTTTCTAATTAGGGATATTCTCAAACTCGTACAAGTCTCGTAAGTTATTGAGCGTCGTAAAAGAACAGTCAAAATTTATATGGAGCTCAGTTTACGCGCACATCGTAAAATTGCCGAGGCAAATCAGGGACCGAACATAACAGTTATTGATGAAAATTGTCATCGAAAAATTCACTATGAAGGAAATGTTCAACAACTAAGTGATACATACCAATCGATTTCTTTTTTCACCGAGACTCAAATTTGAAAATAAATTTTTATTTGTAATTTTTATGCAATATTAAAAAAATAACATTTATTTTTGATTTTCATATTATAAATCAAAAATAACAATTATTTCTGATTTTTTTTTATATGTCTCAGATAACAGTTATTGAAGACTTTTATTTATAAAGGTCATCAATAAAAATCAGTTACCGACTTTTATTTTTTAAATCATTCGTTTAAAAGTCATTAACATTTTTCGCAGTTAAGAAGGTGTTGGGAAACAAAAATTTTCTACGACTTATACCAATGACATTTATAAGTATGATTTTAAAAATAAAGGTTAGTGACTGATTTTTATTTATGACCTTTATAAATAAAAGTCTTCGATAACTGTTATCTATAACTGTTATTTGCAAATTATTTAGATAAAAATCAAAAATAATTGTCATTTTGCATTTATAAAATAAAAGTCAGAAATAACGGTTATTTAAGAAGCAATTAAATAAAAGTAAAAAAATAATTGTTTAAGGCCGGTTTTTTTAATAAAAATTGTAACTGTTACGGTCCCTGAGGCAAATTTGATGTGTTAACGACGTTGTAAACTTAGGTTTTGCCGAGAAGCCGAAAATTGTATACTAAAATTTATGACAAACAAATGTTTGAAAAGAAATGAAAATAAATAAGAAGTGAATACAATGAATGGGGGATATTCATAGCCGAAATAAAGTCGACTCTAAAGCAGTTCCAGCTGTCTTGACAGATATCCCTTAGAAACTTATGCCAAAAAGCTGCCACTAACCGTAGAGTCGGCTATGAATATACCCCAATGAATTTCAGCCACTAACTGTATTAAATTGGGTTTTCTGCTAATTTTCGGCCTTTTCACAAAACCACTCTACGCACCTATTTACAAATTTGCAAAACAGTCTCGCAAAATTTCGAGTTGTACACAATTTATGACTTTACGAGTTTAAGGGAATACCCCTATTATACTTATTTAGTATTTTCCTGTACATACAAAAGAACATAGATGGGGGGTACATGTAAGCACATATCGTCACCTGAGTAAAAGATTGTCGTAAGCGTCATACGTACATGCGTAACATACGACATTCTTTTACCCAGGCGACGATATGTATACGAGTATATGTGTTGTAAGGATAAGGGGAAAATTACACATGGACGTACATATGTACATACGTATGAATGTCCGAAACAGATGTTCTTTTGACGTGAGAGAGATTTTATTTCGGTTATCGTTCGGTTGACCGCATAACCGCAACGAAATTTGTATGCCTTCTTTTATTTGACCACAACCAAATTTTATATCCCCAAGCTTACATAGTCGTACCTACATAGTATACATATGTATGTTTTTATGTAAATATGCTTGTCTCAATGTACTTATTCATGTACAGGGGATAGGCTAAGAAGCAAGGAAGTAAAAATGAAAAAGTACGATGAATAAAAAATGTCTATTAAAAACACTTTATGCACTTTTAAGCAAAAGCAGACGAAAGATGGCGGCAGATAAGTTACAAATTACAGCAAAAAGGTAGATGAGCTGAACAGAGTGTGTTAAACTACACTAAGGGCCTACACTTACTATAATGGATCTTGTATGGGATGTGTATGGGAAAAATGAACTGAGCAGAATTTTGTAAAATACTAAAGTGACGGTGATGGTGATGATGCTGATGATGATGACGATGGCTATGATGGCGATTGCGATAGTGATGCTAATTATGTGTCCAAGTCACTTCAATCGTAGTGAATCATAAGAGGTGAAGGCAAATGAAAAGCGAACAAATAAAATTAGGTTGGAGAAATATTGCTACTTGTGAGTAATGCGAGCTGCTTGTGCACAGTTATGCAGTTACTCAGCCATGGAATTTACTACCGTCAACTAAATAAAATAAGTAAAAAAACTACGTACAGAAAAGTTAGTTTAATCAAAAATAAAGTGAATTAAAAGTTTTAAAGGTGAAAAAGAAAAATAAATAAAATGGAAAAAGTGCTGTTAACGCACAGCTATGCGACTTATTCACGGTCGTGCAAAGGAAGTCGGCGGGCATACAAATAAAAAAAGGTAAAAATGCGATAGTCAAACACTCCCAGGCGGGTTGTATGAAAAATATACATACATACATATGTATGTAGTAGTTGTTGGACTGCATACTCGTTGTTTGATTGCCTAGTGGAGGAGTTTTTTTATATGATTGTGATAGAATCGCATGCAATACGTAAACCTGTATGTTTATGACACTTTTATCGACAACATTTGAGTTACATATGTACATATTTGTATGTAATAAATAATATGATATGGGAACGGTTTTCCGAAGCATACAAAAAATTAACTCCAGTTGAGAAACAAATAACAGAAGCTATGAAAGGCAAGTCTCTATATATGTATGTATATGTTTATCTGCATAAGTACTCCCTTCGTTGAAGTTGAATGACTTGTGGTTTTTTCTTTAATACAATTACGCACGTAATTGATACATTAATTGTATCATGTTAAATATTCATTTGTGAGTTGATGTCTAAGCCACAAGATCATACTTCTCAAAAAATCCACTAGTCCTATCGTGGCAAAGCCATTGACATTCAAAGATGTCAACGCCTTTGATTTATTGACTGTCATGATTGCGTATAATGCGTTCCATGACTTTGCTAGTTGTGATATTACATGGATATCACATAACACACGTACATAGCTTAGGCTTAGGTATAATAAACGAAGAGTTAGGAGATGTACTGCATGGCTTCGTAAACCTAGGTAGACACCTTTCATTCACCGCAAAATGCAGTTATTCGCTTTATTACAACATAAAATTTGTCGCGGTAAGGTGAATGGCTATGTACAAATATACATGTATACATACATACATTAGGATGCTCATCGAAAATGTTATTTTTTTGGAAATTTCAAAACCTTACTCCCTAATTTTATTCGTTTTTATGAGAACTATTATTGCCTATTTTTATAGATTTTTTTAAAGGTCATTTAGAGGTTGCGACCTGTCGATTTAGGTCAGAAAATACGATTTTGTAGATTTATGAGCTTCTGCATGACTATTTTGGATTCTAGAAAGAATATGATCTGAGAAGAGGATACATAAGCCTTTAAAATCGTATATAATAATATATTGTCGGACTTGGCTTGTTGGGATTTTTGTTTGGAATAAAATAAAAACAAAACATATTTCTTCTAATTTTTTTAAATTTTGACCATCGATAATTTCCATAGTTTTCAAATATGCAGTACTCTCTAAAATTAAATCTATTTTTAAAATATCTTCGGCTCGCCCAAGTCCATCAAAATTCAATGTGCTCAAAAAATAAAGATTAATAAATTTGTTTTTACTAAAATTGCAAATATCTTTTTTGTAGAGAATCGAAGAAAGCTTAGAATTTTTTTAGCACTTGAACCTGGATGGACTTCAGTGAGTCTAAGATATTGACCAAAAATTGTCATCTTTCGCACAGATTGTGTTTAGAGCATCGTGAACCATATTTTTGCTATTACCAGTCAAAATTCTAAAAAAGCGGCCCACGCTAATGTATGTACATATGTATGTACTAGGAATGTTAATCCCGGGATTCCGGGATCCCGGCCTTCTTAAGGCCCAAAAATCCCGGGATTATTGGCACATAATCCCGGGATTTGTAATTTGTACTGACGGAAATAATAGAAACACTTTTTCTTGACCGGTATTGGCTATATTTCGTTTTTTATTTAATGATTCATACTATTTTTTATGAATGTCTAGCTCATTATATATATAACACCAGACGATAGTAAATTTTTAACACAAATATTAATGTATTCGCGAAACCATGGGCCAAATATAGTAAAATTGGGTCTTTAGTTTTTCACTCTGACGTCAGTAATTCAAAATTGACTTAAAAGATTCAGAGAAATGTGCTTACAGAAAAAGTATGGGTATAAAATTAAAGAGGAAATCTTGTAGAATTTAAACAGATTCAAGTTTTTTGGTGCAGAAGGACTGGTAAGTATTGAAAAAGCCCTTTTAAAATTGTATCCTTGAAATTTCGCAATATTTGTTTTTTGAAAAAATTATATTTTAAAGACTTATATTAACTCGGTAACACCCTCGAATTTCATCCTTCTAACTTTATCAGCTTAAAAAATTACATATTCGTCCTTGTGAATCCAAAAAATTCAATTTTTTTTAGATTCTAAAGAAATTTTCTCTTGCATTTGGTACCCATAATTTTACTCTACATTGCATTGGATTTTTTAAATAATTTTTGGAACTTATCATATCTTTTGAAATTAAAAAGTCCTTTAAAATAAATCCTGACATCAGAGAGCTTCTCAAACAATATAGAAGCAATTTTTTCGATTTAAGTTGTTGAAAAGTAATGAATATCCAAATCCCGGGACTAATCCCGGGATCCCGGGATTGTGATAACGACATCCCGAAAACCCCGGGATCGGAAAAAGCTGAAAAATTAGTAAGTGCAACTAAAAACTGTTAAAAATGTTTGTTAGTGTTACCGATATGTTTTGATATTTCCAAAATGATCCAAACGAAGAATAATTTTCAAGAGTTGACTAAATGCTGCCGCGATGTTATATTCAAATGGATAAATTCTAGATTAAAGCATTTAGTCCCATCCAGGGGCGAACCCAGGAATATATTTCGGGAGGGGTTTATACTTCTGAAAATTAGCTTCAGATTAAATGATCATTAAAGTACATTTATGCAAGTTTTATGTACAGTATGTAATAAATAAATAAACTTTTTGAATTTCATAAATTGCATTTATTTACATAAAATTACCAAAAAACTCAAACATTTGTAACCGACTACGAAAAAGGGGTAGGTTATCAATTCGTCGGAATAGTATGCTAAGGCATAACTTTGGACCACGTGAACCGATTTCAATAATTCTTTTTTTTATCGGAAAGACGGTACCTCAAGGGTCTTCCCGTAATTTGAAATTACTTGTTTAATATAAAGTTCTATAAACACAAGATGCGCTCAACTTGCAAAAGTAATAAAAAAAAATTAAAAAAAAAGAGTTTTAATGTTCATTTTCCTCGATATCTGGTTTCTGGTTTTCGAATGAGATGGTGATTTTTTACGATTGCCTAATTTTTTAATATTTCGAATACCGAGAAAAATTAAATGAACTTGAATTTTTGTTATGTAGGCAATTTTGGAGGAACGAATTGGAAGTGGGCAAATTAAATCTTCGAATCCTTGTTAAGGACATATCAGTTGTAAACTCTTTTAGACTCAGTAAGTGAGTATGCATTGCATATTTTTAGGTTTCATTCGCAGTAAAACTTTTAAGAGCTCTAAAAAAAGAACGAAAAATTCATATAAAATGGCGCACAAGAAATGGAATAGGAATTTTCTTCTATCGAAATTTCTTAAATCAATTTGCATCTCTCAAGAAAAAAATGTTCGTATATTTACATATTTCTTCAAGAAAATTTACAGCTAAAGCAAAGTGCTTTATAATAAAAAATATTTCTTGTGATTTTTCTTGAGAGCTGGCTTTAGGATACAGTTTGTATTTCAGGTTATTAGCTTTAGGGGGGGTTTGAACCCCAAAACCCACCCCTTGTGTGCGCTAATGGTCCCATCGATGACTTATCCTAATGCATACATACATACATACACACTAGGTAAATATATCTAAAATCTGCTATTACATAAAAATCATCTTGCGTTCATCAGCTGCAGTGCCACTTTAGACACTGTTAGAGTGCAATTGCAAAATATACATATGCATAGCTTTAAAATTGTTGGTCTTACTCGCGCAGCATCATTTGCAACAGCAATAAATAAGAATAATTGAAGCGCACAAATGACTACGTTAGAAAAAACACTACGAATATAATCTCTATCATTTACTCGAGCGTAATTTTGCGTAGAGGAGCGGAGCAACATGAAAAAACTGTATTATACATACCTACATATGGGAGGTTCCATGGGAAACTGAACCTCAGTGAAAAATTTTTTTCTTTATAAAACTAACAAACGTGTGGATAAGACATTTGTAAAAATCTTGAATCAACCAAAAAATAACAAATTAAGGCTTTACATGCATTTTTATTACCCTTTTTTTACGTTTTGAAATAAAGTTGTAAGTAAATATTTTGAGTGAGTTTAAAGTAAGTTGTGTTGAAAGTTCTGCCAAATAATTTGCGATTCATAATTCAAGTGTTTGGTAAGAAAAATATATAGTAGAACTTATCTGCGCTTAATAGAATGGTGTTATATATTAAATTGTGTGTGTGTATATTATGACTTATTATTAGGCAGCAGGTATTGGTCTTGTCCCACCCGTGACAAACAAAAAATATATAAAAGTTGTTATATTTAATTACAGAAGTTGAAGTTGTGTTTCGTGTTTGTTACATAATGTTAGAAACTCATTGCAAATGTTTAGCACAATTGCATTTTCGTTTCCACATAGTTTTGATTTTTTCTTTTGTTTATTTAATGTTTATAGTTTTTTTTATGAAAGTCTAGCACATTAACCAGAACCACATGAATCCACACTGCAAACTTCGTACAAAAATTATAAAAATTCAACAAATATTAATACATGATTAAACCCAAAAATTTCAAACTTTTTTTTAAGAATTTTTAGAAAAATTCTGGGTATGCAGTTTTATAGCCCATTAAATTTAAGTATGTGAAAAAGAAAAGTTCAAGACGCTAGGAAATCGCGTTGATTTATAATATTTTTTTTTGCTGACGGTGCTAGGCATTTTCTTTTATA